GGCACACGAGGATTATCAAGTATGTAATTTTTGTAAAAACAAAAAAAAATTAAAATTGTGTGCTTGGACGTAAATATAATCAAAATATCTTTTAAATGAGGTATTACATGACCTTACTTTCCATTAGAAAATTTAAAAATAGTAACGCCCTCTATTTTACGTCTCAAGTAAAGTGCATCTCATTATAACAAAAATATCATAATGTTTCTCTAATTTGACATCGTTTCTGTTTTATGTCTCTATTTTCTTGCATTTTGAAAACATACTACAAAATGCTTTCATTTGACATCGCAGGATTGCATTAGAAAAATTTTAGCTTCCAATTTAACTTCTTCCCCCCCTCCCCAACTGACTTACAAGACAATGTATTTTCGTTTTTAGTTAACGCCTAATCTGGGCCACTTATTACTTCAAATTTCAATTGTAAAACGACTGTGACAGACGAACAGACAGAGAGGCATAAGTGTTTCTTATTGCCAAATTTGAGTACTAATGCGCAAATTACTTGATTTTTTTTTGTCATAAAATTTTTACCGTTTTTTCATGTTTCGTCTTTTTCAAATTTAAATTTGATATTGTTTTATCACGAGAGAAACGAGACGAGACGATACAAGACGAGAGAAAGGCTCTCTCGAGCGAGAGAAGCGCCTTCTCGTCGAGACTAGAGAACAGTTTTCTCTCGCCCTACGAGACGGGACGAGAGAGGCCACTCTTTCGTCTCGTCTTGTCTCGTGGCATCACTAGTGCTGAGCTTATACAATCATCTATTTTAACATGCTGTACACGATTTTAAAATTATAATTTAAACATATTTTTAGAGCTGTTCCACATATTCCTAAATCCTCCAACGCGTCCATTAACTGTCTATGATCTACAGTATCAAATGCCTTTGCAAGATCGAAGAATACTCCGATTGCCAGTTTCGTCTGTTCAACATTTTTAATATTAATACAGATATAGCATCTTCTGTTGACTTTTTAACTTTTTCAAATAGTTTTGCAAAACTATAGATTAATGAGATTGGTGTACAGTTTGAAGCAAGACTTTTATCACCTTTTTTGTGAAGAGGTTTTATGATAATGAACTTAAATTCAGTTGGACAAATTCCGTCAGAAATTAATTTGTTGATTAAAAAACATAATGGTTCAGCTAATTCAGTGTTAGTTTCTTTAATCAATTCTGTTTTTCTTTCGTCAATACCGGGAGCCTTATTATTTTTTTAATATATTTATTAATTGAATTATTTCTGTTTCAGTGGCTGGTTTCATAAAAATTTAATTTTTATTAATACGTTTCTCTAAATGATAAAATGGATTGTTTTGAATTTTTATAGCAAGATCTAGTTCAATATTTGTAAAAAATATGTCTAATATCTTGGCAATTATTAATTTGTTATACTGGAATTTGGTATTGCCTTTAACTTTATTGTAATCCCCAGATTATGGACCATATAATAATGGTGTGAATTAGTAATTGATTATTTGTTATTATATATACTCCCGAAAACAAAGGTGTAATAGAAGAGGAAAATATTGCAGCTAAACAAATCGTGACAGTTTCTTACTTATTCATCTAATATTTCGATTCTTTTTTTTTGTTTAGCACCTGAAAAAACACTAATCTAATTTTAAAATTACGACATATGAATCACTTTCCTTTCTTTTTCATAGACAAAGACAGATCCGGTTAAATCCAATAACTATTGCATCATTTGATACCAATTTAAATATTATTGGGTGTACTAATATTGTCCAGCTGGATGTTTAAAACGAAGCACCGCGCAGCAGTTCTTCTCATTTTTTCCGTACGCTGGCTGCAGCAAAAATGGCGAATGGGAGAAAGATTATCTCCGAACAATTATTTAAATCTTTAGGAAAACAACAAATTTGTAGTTAAGTGTTGCATAATCTTGGAAAAATTAGCAGTATTAACTGTCTTTCATTTTTAATTAGTTTCCAATTTACCAATTTGAATTTTATCAAAGTAATTCGTTAATTATGTTTTGATAAAATATCTGGGAGTGTTTTTGGATACTGTAGCGGTATGACGAAATGACAGGCTTCTTTCGGTATTTTCACTCCAATAAACAAACTAAGACCGATATTCGGATCTTTTCAAATCATGAACTGTATTAAATAATAATGTTTAAAAATACCTGTGCAATCTATAGGCCTGGAAGAATTAATACTTAAATGATTACACATACTTCTGATTACACATTTTATTTTAAATACTATTGGAATGATTTTATTTTTTATTACATGGTGCAATTAAAAACTAAATACTTTTTAGATTATTTATAGTGTTTCTCTAGGAAATTTGTTACTCAAAATGCTGTGTTGTATTTGACGGTTGACGGCTAATTAGCAGTATTAATTTTAGGCTTACTAAACAGCTTCACTATTTTAATTACGGAAAAAATTTACTATTTCACAATATAGAAAAATAAATATTAAACTAAATGAAAAGAAATTATTAGCTAATTGTAAAAACGACCGTTTTTCTCCTGAAAACAACTACTTCTCTGGATGATTCCGTACAGCCAAAGAAAAACAGCACAGAGAAAATTTCATTACTCCACTTTTGATTTTGCTTACTAAAGAGAACGTCATTTTTCTACCAGTTTTTCGTCCTTATTAGGGACTCACCAGCAATACATATAGAGTCTTGATTATATTCTCTAACGAGTTTCCGTTGCTGTATGTTCAACTCTTTACTAAAATATTATGTAGATTATTGTTATCATTATAAATACCAGACTAAATATGATTGTTTAATAGGGAAGTAATAGACATTTCACACATAAATTTTTAATTATTAAAAATGTCAAATATACTCGTATCTAAAAGCAATGATTGATATTAATTAGTGTATTGTTAACGTTATTAATATATATTGTACACTAAGAAAAATCAATGCTTTTTTTACTGATACTAATAGAATGTCAACCAACAGAAGATAAAAAAATTCATCGAATGATAATTATTTTCTAACAAGATTTATGAATTTATGAAGTCAATGTATGATTATGATTATAGATAAAGAAAAAAATACCGCAACGGCGTTGCGTTTCATTCATTAATATTTCTAAACATGAAGGACTTTTACCTAAAAGGATAGCTATCCCTAGACACCCCCCAGCGACAAGCAACATGTTTTTAATTAGTTGATAACCTGCAGGACATTGATGACCTGGAGAGATAACTGTCTTTAGACGCTTCCCAGATTTCATTTTTATTTTAACGGTTTAACCCCTTACTGCATAATCTGCAATATTTGGCACACGGTCAAAATTATTATTTTTTTCTAAGTTTCCGAAGAGTTTGCGCTGTCAACTCAAGTAGTCCCATATCTGGAACACTTGCTAAATCCCTTCCACTATCATACGCGCAAATTTGATGAATCATTTAGTGAATATCTGGCTGGATCAAGTCTCAAACAATATAATCCCAAGAAACCTCATAAATGGGGATACAAGGTTTTTGTGGAGTGTCTGGATTTTCTTACGATTTCGACTTTTATTGTAGAACTACCTACTATTCTTGAAAATAATCAACCAGATCTAGGAGAAAGCAGCAATGCTGTTGTAAAACTTTCAGAAACAATTCCAAGAAATCTAAACTACAAATTATTTTTTGATAACTGGTTTACGAGCATTCCTCTACAAATATACTACACCAAAAATGGTATTTTACCTTTGGGGACAGTAAGAGGAAATCGTCTGCATAATTTCGAATTCCCTAAGGAAGCAGCTATGAAAAAAAAAGGTAGAGGTACAGTTATTGAAGCAGTGATCAATGTAGATGCTGTGGACATATCTGTTGTTTCATGATTTGATAATAAAATTGTGAACACCATATCAATATATGTTGGGAGTCAGTCTGTATCGATGGTAAACAGATTCTGTAGGAAATCTAGGACACACAGATATCATCCGCCCTCAATCTGTTGCGGTATATAATGCTTATATGGGGGGGAGTAGATCTTCTCGATTCTATTTTAGGATAATAACGAATCCAAATACGATCCAAAAAGTGGTACATGAGGGTATTTTTCCATTTCCTGGATATGATATGCGTCAATAGCTGGATACTGTGAAGGCGAATCCTAAAAAATAATGATTTATATCTACCACTTTCAGAATTCAAACTTGATATTGCAGAAGTTTTGACCAGAGCTTATAGTTCAGAAAGAAAAAGGAGAAGATCAAGTACCAGCTTACAACCTCAACTGGATCTTAAAAAAAATAAATATCTTTTTTCGAAGATTCCAGCCCAGGAAATAAGAACGCACAACTTGAATCATTTACCAAGAGTAAGTGAAGAACGACAGTGGTGCAAATATCCAGATTGTAAGGGAAAATCCCAGATATTATGTGGTAAATGTTCAGTATTTTTATGTCTAAATAAGGATTGCAATTGTTTTAGCACTATTTTTTCATGACTCCTAATCAATCATTTTAACGCATATACTTTTTTTACAAAAAAATAAAAAATCATCCAGTAAGGGGTTAACACCAAAGCAAACTAGAGGTGCATATTTGAGGTTAGAGGAACCAAATATAATATTTGAATTTATAAAAAACAATAATAAAACAAGTTATGAACAAACGAAAACCAAATATCTACACTTTACCTTCTAATTGGTAACCTATTTGATAGGTCGGTAGTTTTGCCTTTTACTATCTTATCCTAATAAAAAACTTGATTCATTAATTCCAGTCCATTTTAATCTTTAATTTATCCTGTCTTGATTTTATAAAAAAATTATAATGTTATAGTCCGAAATATAGTCTTTTTTAGATAGAGAAATCTCAGATAGTATGTTTCCTATAATATATAAAACATCAATGATTTCGGTTAAGGATTAATGGACTGTTAATAATAGGGGAATTAGCAGAACAGTTATTTATATTTTCCGTTTGCTGTACCATACCCATTCTTTCAGTGTAAATAAAATTATTCCATGCACCATAAATATTGTCTAATTGTTATTTACACCTAAGCGTTTTTCTAGTACATTTGCAAAATGTTAGTTTTGCGGATAGTGCTGATTTTAATAATAAACATTTATAGTTGCAGTACCAGTAATGGTAATATATACTTATCTTTTCATAGAATATATTTATTTTATTTTATTTTTTTAGAGTCAGTCACTATTCATACATCTGTATTTGGGAATAAAGAGTATTTTATTTCAGGTAGTGAGGTAAGTAATTAAAAAAGTAGATATTTAGAAACTGTAGGAAATCCAAATTACTTCAAAGCTTCGTATTCTTTTGTACCCAGAAAGATATTTGAAAGAAAACAAGCAGTTTGAAATTAAATAATTAAAATTACGTTATGAAGAAAAAGTAAGCAATTAATTTATATAGAATTAGTGTATACTTTTATTTAAAATAGAAAAAATGTAAAATAAGTGACAGTGGGGAAAATGAACCCAAAATTACACATAGGTAGTGAAAAGATGATACAAAAACAGCATACGTCCAAAAAATTAGTTTTATGAGAATAGAAATAGTTTACCTTAATGCTCGTTCAATTTACTAGCCAAATAAGTATTTAGATACAGTTTTAGGAACCCGACGGTATTATTGGTTGTCATCTGGCTTACCCATTTTTTTCTGAAACAAAAAAGTATATTAAAAAAATGATGATATTAAAAAATAATATTAAATATACTTTGTGCGGTTTAAAGCCATATGATAATGCAATTCCGAATTATAACATAAACCATTCTTAATAATTTGGCAACTTATAAGGTGGATAACACCGTAAATGCTTCTATTTGATTTTTATAAATAACATTGGTCTAGTAGTTGTGCGTCGTTGACTTTTGTTTTCATTCAATAAATTCTTTAAATAGATAATAAATAATAAAGTTATAGTACATTAAAAAGTTCACTTTTAAATCAATTATTTGAAACACTCTATTTTTGCGCCATTTACCGCATCATAATGAAGCGCCTATTTTTATTGGTCACTAAAAAATCTGTGATAACGTAACACATAGATATAGTTGATCGTTATCTTTTTCTAATAGTGATATTTATGACAATTATCTCTTTCTAAAATCGGATTAAAGTTCTGATAAAATGTTTCAAAATCTAGACCTAGACAAAAACGATAGTGGCCTAAGGGCAAAATACAAACTACCATCGTGCTTTTGTATTTATTTTGATGTAAGTAAAGAAAATCTTGAATTGTTTTTGTTTCCAATTTGATATGAATTTATAAAATATATCTAGTTGATCAATTAGTAGATCAATATAGGTACCTACCTTTTTACTTAACACTGATTCTGAGGGTACTAATTAATTTGCATTATTTTTTAGGTGGAGGAAGATGCAGAAAACTGGATCCAATTCAAAATTATAAGTAAAAATTTGACAATAAAACAAGGTGTGCTACATAAATATACCACCTAAAATTCCTATTAAAGGCTCTTTAACTGCCAAAAAAGGATTGAAAATTTATATTGTATTGTCATTCTATATATAAATGTCATTAATTGCTTAAACGATTATAATAAAGCTTGCTTGTTATTTATTGTATTCTTTTTAAACAGGAGTGTATAAATAAATTACCTACAGTATGTACAAAAACTTCATTTATTAAATTTACGTATTCTATATTATGTTCAGATATGTTTCTATTATTAATATAAATTTAACAAAAGCTAATAGATGTATTTAAAATATGCAAATCATTTGTTTTTTTTTTAATTCCGATAATTTTGCGAAATCTATACCATCTCCACAAAAGTAAATGCCTAGACTATACCTATACAGTAAACTGTTAATGTCTTACCACAAATAAACCTTTTTAAAAACTCGAAACGGTAATATAATAGGCAATTGATAAATAAATAAATAAATAAAAAGAAAACGACAATAGTAGTTTGTGCAACAAGAGTGGATATGGACAATCCACTCAAGTTGTACAGTATATTTTTTCTACTAACGAAAATCTACAAATATTTAAAATTATTTTAGGTTATTAAGATAATATAATTAATTTAAAAATAATTTATTAGTTTTACTAATTTATAAAATTAAATAAAAAAGAAAAAAAAATCAGTTTATTTTTCTCTACTTGATATTCGAATTCAAGTCTTCCGTATGAAAGGCAAGAACGCTGACCACAGGGCTACGCATTTATTTTTTTAACTTTGATACCCTTAATTAAATTGACTTCATATAGTTTTACTTAAATTAATAAATTATTTATAATTATAGACGGAATAAAAATTCTATTATTTATCGATTCTAAACAAGAATAACTCATTTTAATGTATGTTTAATTTCAATAACAACAAAATATACCTACAATTAGTTTGACAGAATTATCACTTATTTAAAATTTTTAAAATAATAGCAGTCGGTTGATCAAAATATGAACGGTGATTCTCATTACCTAGAATGGATATGAAATATATTCGTTCAGTTGAAGGCAATAGCATACTTTTTCGGTTTGTAATCTGCGCGTAGAGAAGCTAATATCCATGTGAATGTAGAAAAACTTATTTTTATTTGCATTCATTATAAAATATAACACTGTTTCAAAAAATATTTGCCGGCTTCATATCATTTAGTTTTTGTTGATGAAACATAAACTTTTATTATTTGAACTATTTCAAAATTTGGAGATACCACACAAAAAAGCCCATTATGTTTTTTAGAAAGCAACATTTACAGTTGAATAGGGAAGTATAACTTTCTGGTCACTTTGCACTAGATATAAATCTATTCACTCTTATTATTTATAAAAAGCAAACGTTTAATGTTTTTAATTCGAAGAAGAATCGACACCCTCAAATCATTAGAACTTCAAACTTTTGACAACCGTGGCATTTTCTAATAACCCAATGTGTGATGAAAAGTTATTCACTACGATGGTATTCAAAAGCCACAACAAGAAAGCAATACAGTGTCTGCACCCATCATGTAAAATTATTTATTACTTTATTTTGAGCTTTTTAATATTGACAGGAATTGAAATTACCTTCGAAAACAGAATATTCTGTGAATTGACAAGATATTACTTTTTCCTTTTGTTCATTTATTACTAAATAACGCTATAAACTTTTCATGTTCTGGTGTAATACTAGCTTTAATGGTACAAATGGTAACCGAATATGATAGTGCACTTGCTTGGTAAACCCACAATTAAAAATGTCAACAATATTGAGTACTGAGTTTGTATAATAAAAAAATGTTTTCCTTAAATACAAATCTCTTTGAATACAATAATTCTAGAAAGATTTGGAACATGTGTAACGGTTGAAACCGTTTTCGTTATTTAGACTCAAACATTGTAACGGTCAGAACCGTTTTCGTTATTTTGACACCAACATTTCTACACAAATGTCATTTGTCGTGTATGCCTTATGTCTAAAGTTGGTAATTCATTTCGATTTATATCTGTCAACGAGCAAGTTGATTTGAATTTTTAATTATCTTTTATCTTGGACTAATTGTCTTTAATATTTTTAATGACCGTCTGATTTTAAAAAGGTAAGTTTCCTACCGATATTTTGTTGAAAATATATATTTAGTACAAGAGTTTCTTGAATAAAATGTCAAATTTGAAACATAACCTCAACATGAAAACACAAGAGTCACATGTTTTATATAATTTTATCTATTATTTTGTTAGGAAAGAGATACTATGCTTTACTATTTTTGAATGTGTTAAATAAGACTTTTTCTATTCCTATTAATTTTGGTGAAACTATTCACTTGATAGTTTAAATTGTATGTATTTAATAGTAAAAAGCATATTATCTGTCTCCTATATAAACTTTCTAGATCCTTTCTTGATATTTTTACCTTTTTCCTTGTAGCCTGGCTGTATCTAGATGGTTCTGTAGAAGTTATATCGAAAGAGATTGTTTAGAAGTTTGGAAGAACGTTCAAGCTGCATGTTTTACATGTTTGGAAGTATAGAAACTTAGAAGTTTAGTTCCAGCTACAGAAGTTTATTTCAAGTATATCAAGAGGTTTAGTTCGAGTCATCTAAAGAAGTTTACGAGATTTAAGTTTACCTATGAATATTTATACTTAAGAGTTGGTGATATTCGAAGTATATCATACGAATCCCCTTGAAGAAGGCCTCTACAGTCACTCCTTAAATACTACCTATTATTTAACAGATAAGTCTTTTAATAATAAATCATTTAAATTTGAATAAGTAAGTCTTTGTGAATTAGAATTTGTCGCTACCTTATCTGAAACCTTATTTAATTATAATATGTTAATGGTTAGTGATAAGTATTACGAGTTGTTTAATAACCTGACCCACTCCCCAAAATCATAAGAGCTTAAAACACTATAAAGAGTAGATAAAATAACAAGATCACGTTTCAAAATGGCGCCCAACGTGGGGATTTTCACGTTTCAAGCATAGAAAGTGTACTTACGTTGCGAATTTCAGAGCCAATAATAATATTTATATAAAAATAATCATGTTAGAATCCACCTTGGGTAAGTTGTCTAAAAAGATTCTTCTTCTAATACTGTTTGTACTTTGGCCATTTTAAGAAATTAAATAACAATTTTAAAATAAAGCAAAATATTCTCGTAATCGAAAACGAGGTAAGGATTTAGACGTACAGATGAAACCACGTTGCCAGACTTAGAGAAAATATTTCGCGATATGGTGATTATGATTTTAATAATATTTCGATTAGGAAGAAAGTTTATTGAAATATTAACCTTTAAATTGTCGCTTATCCAAAATGTCAATAATTCTTTATAAGTAGTGGCAACAAGGTAAAAACATATCGACTATTGTCTAGAAGGTTAAACATTATCCAGTCAGATTTTAGGCTTCATTATGGCGCGCGTTTTTAAGTTTCTTAAAAATTTTTGAATTTTAAAAAAATTTTGTAGAAAAATTTGAAAAGAAAAAAATTTCAAAAAGATATTTTTGGAATAGATTTTGTGCTAGCTTTTAAAAAAATATATTTTTTAATTTTACTAAACACGCCCATTCGTTCTACTTTATAAAGAGGAGTAGTCACATGTATTAATAATGACGGACGCCATCTAGAACAATAATTTTCTTAAAACTTTTATTTTAAAAATAAAAATCTGATGTGTCCAACACATGACTTTCCTATCTAGTTATTATAGGCATTTTCCGGTTATTTTGTACAACCTATTGCAGCATCTCTATAAATGTTTAGAGGATAAACTAAATATATACATTTTCCACATACATCTACCTCGAAACATTTTTCTATAGATATTCATTGAAAACGAAAATACAGAAAAATTTAAATTTAGCACTTTTCTATTACGGTCCATTTTAGAAAAATCATATATAAACAAAAATTATAGAAATCGATATCGCAAACAACTTTTAGTTCAACAATTTTCATAAAAATCAGAATTTTGCACATTTTGTCAAATTTCTCGAATACGGACCATTTCAGGAAATTTTGACATAGAACAAAAATTATAGATAATAATATTAGAAGTAACTTTTATTTGAACAATTTTCTTCTCCAAACATAAATAACAGATATATTCCATAAAATATAAAAACGGCCTCCCATAAAGTACCCCCCCAGATGTTCCGACTTTGTCCAAAATCTAATCATTTCACGTCAGGCCGAAATAAACCTTAAGTTTAAAATTTAATGTTTTTTCCTTTATCCGTTTTTGAGTTTTCTTCAAATTTCAAAATTTACACATTTTCTCAAATATCTCGAATACGGTCCATTTTAGAGAAATTATGTATAGGACAAAAATTATAGAAAATTATATTACAAACAACTTTTATTTGAACAATTTTTATAAAAAATTATTTTTTTTACATTTTCTCAAATTTCTCGAATACGGACCATTTTAGGAAAATTTTGCATAAAACAAAAATTATAGATAATTATATTAGAAGTAACTTTTATTTGAAGAATTTTCTTCTCCAAACGTAAATAACAGATATATTCCATAAAATATAAAAATGACCACCTATAAAGTACCCCCCCAGATGTTCCGACTCTGCCCAAAATCTAATCAGCTCATTGGACGCTGAAACAAAGCTTAAGTTTAAAATTTGGTGTTTTTTTGTGTATCGGTTCATGAGTTATGCGTTATACAGACACACACACAGACACACAGACACACAGACACACAGACACACAGACACACACACACACAGACATCATCGCGAAAATAGTCAAAACGGATTCAGGGGACCTCAAAACGTAAAAATCCGTCGAAAACTCGAGGTCGAAAAAAATCATGATTCCTATACTTTCCTTATATCTGTATACAGATAGGAAAGTAAAAATTAAAAACACTACACATGACATATTTCGAAGTACAACTTCTTTTTCAAATGTTTTACTCATTCAAGATAATAATTTTATTATTGATGTGTTTTCCGTCTTTAAGTCACATTGTTTTATTGTCGTTAAAAATTACCTATTCAAATAAATATACGACATTTTCGTGTTTTTGTTATACTACACCGTATAAATTTCTAAATTTTTGTTAGTACTTTATGGCCTAATTAGTAATATCTTATGGCTGATTTTATTGAAGTTAAATAGTATATGATGTACCAAATGACTAAAGTGACTTGAGTGATTGTTGCTCTCGCTCCGTTCGGGCAACAATCTTCACTCTTAAAAGTGACACTTTAGTCTCGTGGCACATACGCTATTTTTTGTACGGCATGAAATAAAACTAGTAAATTATTCTAAAGCTGTTTATTTTTATGGTATTTCACTTACTGTGTTCTGTCTTAAACAAAGTAGTTTACTATGTTTTCTATAGGTTTTGTTATTTGAGGGACTAAAGATTACTGCTTTTTGTTATTGTTAATTTAATTAATTTTGTTGATTATTTTGCATATCTGTCAACATTTATTTGCTAATAAAATCTTCCTTCCTTTGCGAATAAACTTTAATGTCCTCGTTGACAATTCATTGAATATAGGCAACACATAATACGTAAATCAAGTAGGTATACACCAAATAATGTCAAATTAAAATTTATTACTTTGATGTTTTATAGTAATCAATTGTTTTTAATAATTGTACTAATAATAAATAAAAATATATGCAAAGTTTTAAACAAAAATATTTTCGAGAAAATCGATAAATTTATTCGCTTATAAAAAAGGTCTTGTTATGTTACCTCCCGAATAAAGTACTTTACTATAGTTTCTATTGATTTTATTATTTGCAGTACTAAAATTTTTTAATCCCTTGGTACTAAAATATTTTAATGGCACTTCAGCCTAAAATAAGGAAGTAAAATGCATGTTCTCTGTTTAAAAATCCTGTAAAAAGTATTATTTTAAAATTGGTATCATTCGCTTTTGAATACCATACAATCTTATTACTTTTAATGCGTATACTATATAAGATTTGGTTGTGAGTTTTCTTGCAATTAAAATTTGTAAAACCTTAATCCTTACACCTTCTATACAGGTCAAGAACCTAATTTTTTACTCGTAATATTTTCAGGCAGGATATTTTCAAGCACATGCCATTTGTTCAAAGCTAGGGATGCGGCCTGTTACGATTATGACTAGCCAAATTAATGAATTTTTACTTCACGATATAATTGATGAAAGTAAGTAGTTTGTGGCTTATTTGATCTGAATCTAAATTAGTCGTTACAAACCTGGTAATTAATTTATAGACTCTATATATAGTAGTGATGGAACTTGTCATGAAAAGTAATTTTTGGACTAGTGAAAAATAATGAAAAGTAGACGACCTTGGGCATAAAAGACACGCAGTTAAAACTTCATCCTGGATGTTTTTTTAAAGACACTGGAAACAATATATGCACTTGTATTTTCGTTTTTTTTTTTTTAGGAAAATTATTTGTAAAAGACCTCTATCTTTGTTTTTCTTGGTCATTTTTTCACGTGTTTATTTTAATAAGATGTGAAACGAAAATTTGAAAACATTGTTAAAACATAAAAGTCAGTAATCATTTGTGGTTTCTTTTTTTAAACTATATTCTGCCTTTGTTTGTAAGAAATTCAGACAAATTAGTTAATTTAATGTCGCGCAATACCCTTTTCCACTTTTGAAAGTGTGTTTGGATTAGTCAACTTTTCAGACTATTCCGCCGGACTTGTCCAAGCGACCCAACACTAATATATAGTACAAGGATGTAACTTTGTAACTCCTTAGAAAATTACACCACAGTTTTCCAAATAGAAAGGTTTTCGCACAAGAAAATATGTTGACAAGGTATTCCAACCAGTAAAGCGCCTCAGAACTAATTCTGGTATGCTTGAACCTTCTGAATCTTTCAACCTTCTAAATCTTTCGACCTCCTAATCCCTTCAACGTTCTGATCCCGAATCCCTGAAAGTAAGAATTATATACAGTTGATCTAAGTATCTGGAACAACATTGCAGAAAATGGAAAATCTGATGAGCTTGCCAGAAGGATCTTGAGCAATCGCTTTATCGAGTCTGAGCTATTTTCGTATAGCTGCGTGATATGTTTCTTTTTTAGAAGAATTATCTAATTAGACTGAGTTTCATCAGTTTAGGCTCAATATCTCTAATAAAGGAGCACTATCCAAATAAACTTTACTCAGTAATAAAGCTAACCATAACTGGTGTTACGACAATGTATTGATAATGAAAATGCTAGGTACTTTCTTAGGTACATATATTTTTCTACCTCATCCTGTATTCAAACAGTACCTACTGATTTCAATTATCTACAAGAAAAAATTGCTTCGAGTTTAAATAAATTAAAGCAGGAGTACCACAAGGAAACGTCCTTGGCCCTGTCTTTTATCTATTTACCTACAAAATACCAGAAATTAATCATGACAAAACTAAATAAATATTTACATGACAAGAAACTATTTTTAATTATTCTCTAATTTTGATCCCTATGTACTCACTTTTAATTAATAATTGTTGTTGAGGCAACGCTAGCAGTAAACTACTCTATGCTATTTCATAGCATAACTTTAGTTAGTTATTTATTTTTAGATTTGACAGCGAATGCATTTTGGACAGCCGGATCAACAGTATTAAATAAAGATGTGTGGAATTGGTTAACGTATGTCATTAAATTCGAGTACAATCAGTTGCCAGAGAATCTGGATGATGTTGAAAATAAAAGATGTTTAAAAATTATGGTAGAAAACGAAAAAACGCTTAAATGGGTAACTGAAGATTGCTCAAAAGCAAACTTATTTATGTGTGAACAATATGTAAAACAGGAACCATTTGTTGGTAAGATTTTTTTTTAATTTGGTTATTTTAATGCGTACCGCGTTGTAAAAATGCTATTTTTAAAATTGATATAGATATTTTCAAATAATGCAGAATTTTTTATCAAGGACTCTTTGTTAAAAAATACCAAAACCCAATTTATTGTCTAACTTATTTCCTAACATAGTCATCAAATGCTAAACCTAGTGCGCTTTATAATACCTATATATTATCATGATATCAGTCAGTACGTATTAATAATAAATATAGATTTTTATAGATTTTTATAGATTTTTATAGATTTTTATAGATTTTTATAGATTTTTATAGATTTTTATAGATTTTTATAAATTTTTATAGATTTTTATAGATTTTTATAGATTTTTATAGATTTTTATAGATTTTTATAGATTTTTATAGATTTTTATAGATTTTTATAGATTTTTATAGATTTTTATAGATTTTTATAGATTTTTATAGATTTTTATAGATTTTTATAGATTTTTATAGATTTTTATAGATTTTTATAGATTTTTATAGATTTTTATAGATTTTTATAGATTTTTATAGATTTTTATAGATTTTTATAGATTTTTATAGATTTTTATAGATTTTTATAGATTTTTATAGATTTTTATAGATTTTTATAGATTTTTTATAGATTTTTATAGATTTTTATAGATTTTTATAGATTTTTATAGATTTTTATAGATTTTTATAGATTTTTATAGATTTTTATAGATTTTTATAGATTTTTATAGATTTTTATAGATTTTTATAGATTTTTATAGATTTTTATAGATTTTTATAGATTTTTATAGATTTTTATAGATTTTTATAGATTTTTATAGATTTTTATAGATTTTTATAGATTTTTATAAATTTTTATAGATTTTTATAGATTTTTATAGATTTTTATAGATTTTTATAGATTTTTATAGATTTTTATAGATTTTTATAGATTTTTTATAGATTTTTATAGATTTTTATAGATTTTTATAGATTTTTATAGATTTTTATAGATTTTTATAGATTTTTATAGATTTTTATAGATTTTTATAGATTTTTATAGATTTTTATAGATTTTTATAGATTTTTATAGATTTTTATAGATTTTTATAGATTTTTATAGATTTTTATAGATTTTTATAGATTTTTATAGATTTTTATAGATTTTTATAGATTTTTATAGATTTTTATAGATTTTTATAGATTTTTATAGATTTTATATATATTTTGAATAATAATATTATTAATAATGCATTAAAAAATAATATGTGAATTTAAAAAGAACATTAATGAGCAAAAATGCATTTATATTTAAATTGTCAAGTCTGGAGGATTAAATGTAGTAACTTTATTTTGATAAATATACAATTTAAAATAATATTTACATAAAATTAATTATTAAGTTTCTTGATCAATATCAAAAACTGGATAGTTTTCCTAATATTTAGTCAATCCAGTACAAATATATTTTTTAAATTTTTGAAAATATAAGTTAAATTTGATATTGCGTGTTATCATCGAAATTAAGCACAATCATTGGAAAAGTTGATTTCCAAAAAAAGTAAAAAAAGTAAAAAAAGTAAAAAAAGTAAAAAAAGTAAAAAAGTAAAAAAAGTAAAAAAAGTAAAAAAAGTAAAAAAAGTAAAAAAAGTAAAAAAAGTAAAAAAAGTAAAAAAGTAAAAAAAGTAAAAAAAGTAAAAAAAGTAAAAAAAGTAAAAAAGTAAAAAAAGTAAAAAAAGTAAAAAAAGTAAAAAAAGTAAAAAAAGTAAAAAAAGTAAAAAAGTAAAAAAGTAAAAAAAGTAAAAAAGTAAAAAAAGTAAAAAAGTAAAAAAAAGTAAAAAAGTAAAAAAAGTAAAAAAAGTAAAAAAAGTAAAAAAAGTAAAAAAAGTAAAAAAAGTAAAAAAAGTAAAAAAAGTAAAAAAAGTAAAAAAAGTAAAAAAAAGTAAAAAAAGTAAAAAAGTAAAAAAAGTAAAAAAAGTAAAAAAAGTAAAAAAAGTAAAAAAAGTAAAAAAAGTAAAAAAAGTAAAAAAAGTAAAAAAAGTAAAAAAAGTAAAAAAAGTAAAAAAAGTAAAAAAAGTAAAAAAAGTAAAAAAAGTAAAGTAAAAAAAGTAAAAAAAGTAAAGTAAAAAAAAAAAGTAAAAAAAGTAAAAAAAGTAAAAAAAGTAAAAAAAGTAAAAAAAGTAAAAAAAGTAAAAAAAGTAAAAAAAGTAAAAAAAGTAAAAAAAGTAAAAAAAGTAAAAAAAGTAAAAAAAGTAAAAAAAGTAAAAAAAGTAAAAAAAGTAAAAAAAGTAAAAAAAGTAAAAAAAGTAAAAAAAGTAAAAAAAGTAAAAAAAGTAAAAAAAGTAAAAAAAGTAAAAAAAGTAAAAAAAGTAAAAAAAGTAAAAAAAGTAAAAAAAGTAAAAAAAGTAAAAAAAGTAAAAAAAGTAAAAAAAGTAAAAAAAGTAAAAAAAGTAAAAAAAGTAAAAAAAGTAAAAAAAGTAAAAAAAGTAAAAAAAGTAAAAAAAGTAAAAAAAGTAAAAAAAGTAAAAAAAGTAAAAAAAGTAAAAAAAGTAAAAAAAGTAAAAAAAGTAAAAAAAGTAAAAAAAGTAAAAAAAGTAAAAAAAGTAAAAAAAGTAAAAAAAGTAAAAAAAGTAAAAAAAGTAAAAAAAGTAAAAAAAGTAAAAAAAGTAAAAAAAGTAAAAAAAGTAAAAAAAGTTAAAAAAGTAAAAAAAGTAAAAAAAGTAAAAAAAGTAAAAAAAGTAAAAAAAGTAAAAAAAGTAAAAAAAGTAAAAAAAGTAAAAAAAGTAAAAAAAGTAAAAAAAGTAAAAAAAGTAAAAAAAGTAAAAAAAGTAAAAAAAGTAAAAAAAGTAAAAAAAGAAAAAAAGTAAAAAAAGAAAAAAAGTAAAAAAAGTTAACATAAAAAGCAAAAATAAAAATAAATCCAATGATCTCTGAACTTTACGACATACCCATTTTTTTACTGTACCTAAATTTAAAAAAAAATCTATTATTTGTAATATTACTAAAATTATTTTATATAAATAAAATTCTACTACGATCAGGAAATTTAGCCTTAAATAATCCTAAAATAATTTTAATGTTTAAAGCATTTTATTTATTTTAAGTAACACATACTTTCAAGATAAATACTTTTTAATTACAGATTTGCTGGAAAGCTTCAAAAATCCCCTCGGTTTGATTGAAAACATGCCAATTTTCAACGATAACGAAGACGTTCACTTTGTAATAAATTATATGAAGGAAGTAAGTCTTATTTTTTATTTATTTTCCTATTTTGTAATTTACAATATTAAAACTGAAAATTAGATATATGTACAGAGTCTTCAACCATATTCGTATCCTACATGAACATATTAAGGTCAAAGACAGCATTTCTTTAAATCTAATTTTCTAATACTATTATTTAAAAATAGAATCTTAATCAAACATTTTTAAAAGGTTTAATTTAAATATAGATAAATGCAGAAAAAAACTTGGCTTTTATTATCTTTCTTTATTGGCTCTGATCTGCTTTTCTATTTTAGTCATACCATTCAGCGAATCAGATATGTCATGCACTAGAAATGGAACTTTTATATATTGAATCTGAAGAAGAAAACGAAATGTTAAAAGATTACATAAAATCAGCAGGTAGGTTAATAATTAATTATGCTTTTAAAAATAAACTCATAAAATTGAATTGGCTTAAACCGGACAAATGGTATAGTTTCATAAAAAAGAAACACGTCCTGACAAATTTGAGAACAATATCTTGTATTAACATATTTTTACTTACAATCCCTTGATATCTAATTGAACGAATGGAAAATTGTTGTACCTACCAAGAAACGTTTAGAAATTCTTAAAATGTATCATGATGATGTTTCTAAAACTATTTACTTACTGGATTTCAAAAAAAAGTTAATGGTATGTCTTCAATACCGTTATTTTTCAAACACCTCTATTGCCCCATCCATCTTTTTCCTTGCAATGACAAGTCTGTGTCTGTCAGGCAAGAGACATTTTGGAATGAAATTTCTTTCTAAATTTGTTGTTGTAAAGCCTAATTTTGAATTAAATATGCATGGCAACATTTGAATGTAATGTAAATGAATGTAAATTAGAAGAATGATTTCAATGTGATTATCATATGGAGAATGATTTAGAAGCTCTTACCTGGTTATATGAAGAAAGATTTGCTGATTTGCATGGTAATCAACGTCCAAGAAGTATAATGAATAATTTACGTCAAAAAAGGCTGAACTATTTGAAGACTATAAGGATTTGCTGATTTGGAGACCTATTGTATCTCTAACACTATAGTAAGAGATCGAATGCAAGAGGCTCTAAATATAGTAACAAAATGGACAGAGGCGGAAGGACTAAACATTAGTCCAAACATATCTGACATAATTGCATTCACCCGCAGGAGGAAATTGGAGGGACTAGGGCCTCTAAACCTAAGAGGTGCAAGCATCCAGCTTAAGGGGGAGGTAAAATATCTCGGGGTTATGATTGACTCGAGACTTACCTGGAACCAGCATATAGAAAGAACCACAAGGAGAGCGAAAACCTCATTAATGATGGCAAGGCGATCCTTTGGAAAAAAATGGGGGTTAAAACCAGACATGGTATATTGGATTTATAACATGGTGGTGAGACCCATAATAACATACGCAGCTTTGGTGTGGTGGCCAAAGACACAGCAAAGGAAAGCAATAACGAGGCTTAGCAAGGTACAAAGACTTGCCTGCCTCGGAATAACGGGGGCAATGAAAACAACCCCCACTGCTGCAATGGAAGCACTAATAGGACTCCCACCTCTTCACTATGTGATACAAGGGGAGGCAAGATTAGGTGCTTACAGATTAGGGAATACACTGGGAAATCTTGACATTAGGCCAGGTCACATGAGTATCTCAAGGTTAATGACAGGAGACGTGCTAGACATGAGATCAGACCACTTAACCAAGAGGTACTCTTTTAATACTCCCTTTGAGGTTTTAATACAGGAAAGAGCGGAGATCACCATAAGGGAGCCCAATGCCCAACGACAGGAACAAACCTGGTATACAGACGGGTCTAAGACTGCGGAAGGCACTGGGGCAGGAGTATTCTCCAAAAACCCTGATACTAACCATAGCTATGCTATAGGAATACATTCCTCGGTATTTCAGGCCGAGGTATACGCAATTTTGCAATGTGCAAAAACGAACAATGAAAGAGCTGTCGAAAATCAGCATATTCAAGTAATGTCAGACAGCCAAGCGGCACTTAAGGCCATATCGAGTCAGAAAGTTACGTCGAGGCTGGTATGGGAATGCATCGAAGAACTAAGAACACTGGCAGACCGTAATAGAGTAAAACTATTTTGGGTGCCAGGTCACAAAGGGATCGAAGGCAACGAAAAGGCTGACGAACTTGCAAAAAGAGGGTCAGAAGAAACACCGGAACCAGACACAAACCCAGGAGTACCAAAAAGTACAGTCGGGGTTTTATAAATGACTGGTTTCGGGAACAACATATCAACTATTGGGAAAGCACCCCAAAACAGGCACATGGAAAAGCCTTCATAGGCAGACCATGTCCCAAAAGAACTGGAGAACTACTCTTAATGAATAGGAAACAGTTGAAAGTGATAACAGGGTACATGACTGGGCACGCCCCAGTAAAGGGACACTTGAACAAAATTGGCATGTACAATGGGGAACTCATGTGCCGACTATGTCACAAGAAACCAGAAACGGCCAAACACATACTGTGCGAATTCGAAGCTCTAGATCGCAAAGGACAGGCTCTTTTTGGACAACCCCAGGTTGATCCAACAACGTATAGAACCCACTCACCCAAGGATCTGTACAAACTTGTACAAGGTACAAAGGTGATAGAGTGGGTGCTATGAACTAACATGGGGTAAAACACAATAAGCCAATAGGCTTCAGTGTTATTCGGAGACACATAGTCAGACGAGCCCAGGAGAGAAAAAAAATTGTATCTCTTGATGAAGCCCTATATAATTGAGATGTCAAATGTACATGTACATTGTATTATTCAACAATAGATAACTTTAGATGTCATTTTATTATTAGAAACTCTTGTAAATTAGAATTTGGTTTTACCTTATCTACTGAAGATATATCCTTTATGTTTGTTAAAATTTAATAATTTTTATTTCCGTATTTTTATCAATTATTTGTATACTTGGAAATATGCGAATTTAAATACGGTGGTGCCCAAATTTCTAATTTCAGAATAATTGAATTAATAAATCCTAGTGCCTAATCCACGACTCTTATTAAAGAGCTTCAATCACTTAAATTATAAAAACAACACCAGTGGTTACAAGCCATTGCTTTGAGATGAAAGGGCCTTAGGTTCGAATCTCGCTGGTGGCAGATTTTTATTTAATTTAATAAATTAAATAGTTATTCTAATGCATAGGTAGGATTCCCCACTCAACTATTCCCTGTTGGGTTTTAATTAACAGTACTTTTCCTAAAGTGGCATCGGGAAACAGTAACAAGGCGTACACAGAAAATTTGATTGTTTCTATTTTAAAAGGAAACACAGTAAAATGTAAAAACAAGATGACTGCTAATATTGTACACTCACCCTGTACATTTCAAAGATACTATTTCTGCAAACTTGTAAGGCAAAGTTCCGTTGAGTATTTCTTTATGAAATTTCTAAGGTTAACTGTGCTTATAGTTCGCAAAAACAGAGCAAAATTAGCACTTTTGTTCCAATTCTTAAACCACTCTCAAGGACTTGGATATTCGGTGTAGACGTTGTTACTGTTTTCCAGCGCTCTTTTATGAATAGCACTTTTAATAATTATTATAACCTAACAAGGAATGGTCAAGTGGTGAATCCTATTCATAATTAGAATAAATCTTGCCAAGAAAAATAGTAGAATTAAAAATACCACAGAAGAGAAAAAGGTAGACCAAGAAAAACATGGATATTTCAAATTGAAAAAATAGGAAGAACCAAAGAGTCAATAAGATGAAAATAATGGTATTAGCACAGTTTATAGCTAAAGAATGAGTTCGCTTACTTTGCCTCGGCACTTTTAATCTCAATATTCCAGTTTACACATTGGGCAACTCAGATTTGTATCCCTGGCGCATACGGAATCAAATCATAACCAATAAAATATATAACAACCGCCTATATTCAAACATCCAATTGGTCCAAGTGAGCTAACTGATTTTTTAGCTATAAACTGTGGTATTAGATAAAAAAATTGAAAATTTAATAGAATAAGATACGTAGGAACCTAAGATTTAGTATCTAATTACTGTTAATTAACTCTGATACGATAAAATTTTTCTTTCGAATATAAATATTTTTTCTAGGAACTGACAGCGGAGCTTTCTGGTCTAGCGGCCACCGCATATTTGACAAAGTTAGCTGGTACTGGTTGGGCAGTGCTATGCCATTAGAATATACTAATTGGGCCATTGGAAAGCCGGAGAAAAACGAAAACTACTGTCTAAAAGTTGAACTAGGAGATGAAGGCCTGACATGGAGTGAATTTGATTGCACGGCTCGTCTGCCTTTCATTTGCAAAGCTGGTAATATAATTAGAATAAATATCAAAAAACCGGAAATTTATCATTAAAGCAGGGGAAGAAGTTGGAAATGCTTTTAGTAGGTAAAGAGGAGGTAAACGTCAAATATCACGTCGCACGCGATAATGTTTATCTGCCAGTGGTGTTTCATAGAATAGGTACTTTCAAATTGTTACTAATGGAACCATACAATCGCACGTATTTATGGATTAGAAATAATTCTTATAATATCCTAAATCATAATTCTACAAAATTTCAACAGCTATTCATAATCTAATAAACTATTTACCCGAAATTGTTGTTAACATCTGTAAAATAATTTTGTACGCTAATGTATCACGTTCACTTCGGTTAGCTTCGCCGCAAAACTGTCAATTTCTGTGTATGAAGTGGGAGAACTGTAAAAAGCTTTTCCAACTTCTGTTATTGCTATATTCGGGAGTTTTATCACCTTTCTTTTGGCTTTTAAGAGGAGAAGGTTTAATTGAAATGTTCTTTTAATGTTAAAAATATTCCAGTTACTATTATTATCTCTTATCTTTTCACCTGTAAGCAAATTTATAAATCTAATATTTCTCAAATTATTTTATTTTTATTTTTCTTTTTTCTGTTAAAAAATAACATGATATTGAATGTTACTTTATAGCAGACAGAGTAAAACAAATATCAATCCTAGAATTTTTTGAACAATACTCTTAATTTAATATATTGTGAACATATACGTCTTTATTAATTTACTTTTTTTGTTTTTTAGATTTAAGAGAGCATGAAGATGAAGATGGTGAAGAGGAATAAGATGATTAAATAGAAAAAAGTACCTGTAGGATGTTCAATATTAACTGATTTTGCTTGTCCCAAATATGAAATTATTATTTTTGTACTACTATAGAAGCATAGAAGGTTTAAAGCAAATCAGCTCTTAGGTACTTTTATAGTTAAGAATTTTTGTTAGAAATACTGGAATAGTAAAATAAAAAATGAGTTTATAATATTTTTTGTTTTTTATTGTTGGCATGCCTATAAGAAAAAATCTGATGTGTCCAACACATGACTTTCCTATCTAGTTATATAAATGTTTAGAGGATAAACTAAATATATACATTGTCCACATACATCTACCTCAAAACATTTTTCTATAGATATTCATGGAAAACGAAAATACTGAAAAATTTTAATTTCCTACAATTTTTTCATTACGGTCCATTTTAGAAAAATCATGTATAAACAAAAATTATAGAGATCGATATCGCAAACAACTTTTATTTCAAAAACTTTCATAATAAAAAATCAGAATTTTGCACATTTTGTCAAATTTCTCGAATACGGACCATTTCAGGAAATTTTTACATAAAACAAAAATTACAGATAATAATATTAGAACTAACTTTTATTTGAACAATTTTCCTCTCCAAACATAAATAACAGATATATTTCATAAAATATAAAAACGGCCTCCCATAAAGTACCCCCCCAGATGTTCCGACTTTGTCCAAAATCTAATCATTTCACGTCAGGCCGAAATAAACCTTAAGTTTAAAATTTAATGTTTTTTTCTTTATCCGTTTTTGAGTTTTCTTCAAAATTCGAAATTTACACATTTTCTCAAATATCTCGAATACGGTCCATTTTAGAGAAATTATGTAGAGAATAAAAATTATAGAGAATTATATTTCAAACAACTTTTATTTGAACAATTTTAATAAAAAAATATTTTTTTTACATTTTGTCAAATTTCTCGAATACGGACCATTTTAGGAAAATTTTGTATAGAACAAAAATTATAGATAATAATATTAGAAGTAACTTTTATTTAAAGAATTTTCTTCTCCAAACGTAAATAACAGATATATTCCATAAAATATAAAAATGACCACCTATAAAGTACCCCCCCAAATGTTCCGACTCTGCCCAAAATCTAATCAGCTCATTAGACGCTGAAACAAAGCTTAAGTTTAAAATTTGGTGTTTTTCTGTGTATCGGTTCATGAGTTATGCGTTATACAGACACACACACACACACAGACACACAGACACACAGACACACACACACACACAGACATCATCGCGAAAATAGTCAAAACGGATTCAGGGGACCTCAAAACGTAAAAATCCGTCGAAAACTCGAGGTCGAAAAAAATCATGATTCCTATACTTTCCTTATATCTGTATACAGATAGGAAAGTAAAAATACATAAATAATAAATAATTATGTAATCAAACTTTAGTGGGGCGCCTGAGACGTTAAAAACATGGAAACCTCAAACTGCAGTGAATGAAATTTAAAAATTCAAAATGGAATATTTTGTTACTAATAATATATACAAAAAAGTTTAACAAATTAAAAATTGTGATCTTCATTTAAAAAAAAAATGTTAATTATAATAATTTAAATAGTATATTCAGATAGAACTCGGGAAAAACGAATAAATGAAGGATAATTAAATAGAAAAGAAAATTACTAATAAAATGTATTTTTTATTTAATCAATTTACATTTTTATACAAATTAAATATTTTCTTTGACTTCTTTTATTTGAATAATAGGTAGATTTTAACTGCACTGTGAACATGCTACAACTACAGTATAAGCCACTTTTCCGACATCCACAAGCAGCTCTCTGTCCCTTTTTGCAATTATAAAATAACATTTATAATAGATTATCCGGAGCTGGTAATTCATTTATAATTGTTACTGGGATGAACATGAATATGAATTTAAAAAACACAAAGATAGAATATGGACAGGACATATAGAATATAATTCTTTATTTGTATTTTGGCAACTCAAGGTAATAGCGACGAGAAAGAATATGAAAGAAAAAGAGATAACAGTAAAATAAAATCATCAGGATGCTTCTAATATTTCAAATATATTAGTAACTTCAGAAAAGCAATATCCTGTAAATTCCAATTCCATGACTTACGAAGAATCTGACAATATAATGGCTGACATTTTAGCTAATTCAACCCACAAAAATAAGTTTTAGAAAATAAAATACAAACTCTTTTTAGTATTAACATCAATATCACAGCTCCCAACGTCAAATCACCCAAAACTGTAATCTATTTAAATAGGTAGAAACAAAAGAAGACCTGTTAATTGTTAAAATTCGCAATTTGCAGTTGTCGTTGCAAGATTTAACACGTTTTCGGGATTGGTTATAAATACGTTATTTCTTAGATTCGGACGGTATTATGTACAACGAACATCTGCGTAACTTTGTTTTTGTTTAAGAAGTGAACCGTTTGTAATAAACTACCTATGACTCGTTAGTTATTTCTATAAAAGAACTCAATTCTTCTAATACCAGCGACATATGCTACAGAACATTTTTACCAAAGAAATATTCGGAAGTAACACCGGTATTTTTTCAAATAATAAACAAATATGAGTGTTTTAAATTGTAGTTTAACTAGGAGTAAAGTGGAATGTTCTATATTTGTGAACCCAACCAATTTAAACTATTGTATATTGCCGACAATTGAACAAATGCTACGATGTTATTTATTCACGTACTATGATGAACTAAAATATCAACAATATAGTAGAAAAGAACAAAGTTTTTTAAAAGTTTGCAATGAACTTGTGCCTAAAATTGAAAATATTTGGAAAGAGGCATCAATTCCAACTGTTTCAAAAGACAATTGTTTAATTAATGAAGTATTATGAAAAATATAAAAAATTAAGATATTCCAGAACCAAGCAAAACAACAGCTATAACGAAAAGATAAATACATTTAAATTAGATTGTCATAAAAAATTACTTGACATAACTACTTGTAAGTGCGATTTGTCTGCATGCATGTGTGAAAATACCCGGAAAGTACCCACTAAGTAACAACATTTTCTTTCTAATCAATGATCGGTTAGAAAATTGGGCATAGGAAATGTAGATCGTAAAGTAACAAAGAAAATGTCGAATAAACAAAGGCAATTCAGATAAATCAAAAGACAAAAAAAATATGAATTAGAATCTTGCAATTTATTAAGACCCAGCTGTTCCTCTCAAACTACTACATTATTATTAGGATCAGAATCTGACTCCTCAAGATATCAATCCTCTTCAGATGACGACTTTATCAATCCAAATTTAGCCTCTATCTCAAAAAACACTCAAATGAGAACATAGTTACCTAAGTTAGATCTTGTATGCGATAAATATGGTATGTCGGATCGATTAGCTGCTGCGATTACTAGTGCAGTATTAAAAGACGTAGGAATAATTACCACAGAAGATCCGCCAAAGAGAGTTGACAAAAATAAAAGGAAGGAGTTTGAAAGTGATAACAGAAGAATAAGAAGTCTGTATTTTGATGGAAAAAAGGACAAAACTTTACCGTAAGACAAGAAAAAAGGGAAAATATACAAGAAAACTATTATCAAAGAATACATACCGCTTATCGAGGAACCTCTATCTATCTATATTGGACACGTAACTCCAACTAAAGAGACGGAAAAGTCAATTGGTAAAGCAATATTGGACTTTTTTGCCAGAATCAATTTGGACCTAGATAATTTGTGGGTCGCGATGGTACTGTTGTTAACACCGGTAATAAAAATGGTGTTATTACAAAAAAAAAGTTCATCAAATTTCTAGAGGCTTTCGACGGCTAGACAGAGAAAGCACTACTGAGAGGCATCGGTTGGCGGGGCCGACGGATTTACGCAATGAAAGTACACTCTGCGCATCAAGTATTTCACTATTTCATTCAGACGTAAATGTCAGATGTAAATTTCGCTAAAACATTTATTTTATTTTCGTTTGTGTTTTTTGCTCATTACAGTTTAATAGAACCTAAGTATGGAGTTTAATAGCAAATTAAGAGGCCGCGTGATTAACAGTCAATCTCGCGAAATAATAGCCAATGTTATAGAGTTTATGAGAAGAGAAGGAAACTTTAATTCACCTTCAATACCATTTAAAAATCTGATGTGTCCAACACATGACTTTCCTATCTAGTTATTACAGGCTTTTTCCGTTTATTGTGTACAACCTATTGCAGCATCTCTATAAATGTTTAGAGGATAAACTAAATATATACATTGTCCACATACATCTACCGCGAAACATTTTTCTATAGATATTCATTGAAAATGAAAATACTGAAAAATTTAAATTTAGCACTTTTCCTACAATTTTTCCATTACGGTCCATTTCAAAAAAATCATGTATGAACAAATATTATAGAGATCGATATCGCAAACAACTTTTATTTCAACAATTTTCATAAAAATCAGAATTTTGCACATTTTGTCAAATTTCTCGAATACGGACCATTTCAGGAAATTTTTACATAAGGCAAAAATTATAGATAATAATATTAGAAGTAACTTTTATTTGAACAATTTTCTTCTCCAAACATAAATAACAGATATATTCCATAAAATATAAAAACGGCCTCCCATAAAGTACCCCCCCCCCCCAGATGTTCCGACTTTGTCCAAAATCTAATCATTTCACGTCAGGCCGAAATAAAACTTAAGTTTAAAATTTATTGATTTTTTCTTTATCCGTTTTTGAGTTTTCTTCAAATTTCGAAATTTACACATTTTCTCAAATATCTCGAATACGGTCCATTTTAGAGAAATTATCTATGGGACAAAAATTATAGAGAATTATATTACTAACAACTTTTGTTTGAACAATTTTTATAAAAAAAAATATTTTTTTACATTTTGTCAAATTTCTCGAATACGGACCATTTTAGGAAAATTTTGTAAATAACAAAAATTATAGATCATAAAATAAGAAGTAACTTTTATTTAAAAAATTTTCTTCCCCAAACGTAAATAACAGATATATTTCATAAAATATAAAAATCACCACCTATAAAGTACCCCCCCAGATGTTCCGACTCTGTCCAAAATCTAATCAGCTCATTAGACGCTGGAATAAAGCTTAAGTTTGAAATTTGGTATTTTTCCGTGTATTGGTTCATGAGTTATGCGTTATACAGACACACACACACACACACACAC